CCTTATAAATCCTTTTTGACATGTGTAGAACTTTTGTTTTCTCAAGTCCTCAGTCTTAGTCCTATAATTTTCCTTTTTCTTTCTTTTGGACTAACATCATTTTATCTTATGACAAAAATTTACCACGCGAGACTTTTTCTCATCCAAAATTTTTTCTGTAAATTCATATTTTGATTAATAGACCTAAATATATGTAGTCTTTTTATACAATGTAAGAAGCCAAAAAATAACTTGTATTGATTTAGCACGTGTTTCAGTTTTTTAACTTGAGTTTGGATATAACTCCGATCTTTACTAAGTATCTGTTAATTTAAAATAACTATGACTTTAAGTGACATGAAAAGTTTATTTATAAATGTTTGTTACATTTATAGTTACCTAAATTATTTATTCTTAACAACTATACCTAGATTATTTATGAAAATTAAGATATTAGACAGAGCTAGTCATTATTTTTGAAGTTTTTAAATTCAGTATTATAGTCTGTTAAAATCAAGTGTTTATCCAAGTAAGAACCTTAAAATTAAATACATGGGCATCCATCCTGTGGATAACAGAAGATACAGCTGTTTTTATTAAATCAACAACATTAAATTAATCTTATTCATCAAAGAATTGCATAAACAAAGATCATTTTGTTTTAGGCTGGGTTCACAGCTTAATGATCTTAAAACATCTAGCAGAGGCACCTATAAAACTGTGTGACCAGCAAACTCAGGCTAAAATGTTGGTAATTTTGAAGATGCTTCTAATTTTATCAACAATTTTTAAACCAGTGAATTTATCAAAGATTTGCTTAAGTCACATGAACTAAAATAAATTTGGGTTAATTACTATATATATTTATATGTGCACCCATTTTATCTAAATAGAATTTCTTAAGGAATTTATGGCTGACTACACCAGATTTTATCATATAGACACAACATATAACAACACATGTACATATACATAAAATAGCTAAAGATATATACACACGTATACATAAAGATCTTGCAGCTTTTATTTTAGAATTTTACAAATGATATAGTAAAACAAACTCATCAGTTTATAAAAAAAACTTGGATACAAATTATTTTCTAGCAAATGGGATATGGCTAAATTTCATGCTTTTTTTTTTTCTTTCTTTCCCTTCCTTTCTTTTAGGCAATCATATAAAGACTGTGACTCAAATTCTGGGTAAAGCAGTTTGAGTTAGTTACCAGTATACTGGATTGGACAAAGAATATTCAGCTGTGAAAATGTGACTGAATTATGTTAAGAGTCTTAAAAGGTAAGAGTTATTCTAACAAGATCTGTACAGTAATTTTTTTGGTCTCAATTATTTGTCCTTGAAGATAAGGTTATTGCCATTCCTTATAGTATAGGGAGGGTGTCATTTACATGAGAATTTTATCTTTTGCTTTTAAGAAGTAGCATGAAGGCCAAAATTATTTTCTTTTATACGTCTTGTTTTTAAAATGTTTTAACTTAAATAATCAGTATACAGATTGGCTGAGCAGTTTTGGTAAAAGAGAGTTGAACTTACAGAGAGGTAAAGAGGAGGAATGGTAAGGAGAGGGGAAAGGTCTGGAAAGGAAAAATTTTCAACTAGCTTTGAGACAGTATTTTGTAGCAAGACAATCTTTGATTCTTAATTTTTTTCCCTCAAGATACCAATTGAGATATGTGTCTTATTTGGATTGTATGATTTTATAGCTGTGTTCTTTTAATTTTAAAAACAACAAACTGTTTGAATGAACCCCATAATGTTTGAAAATATTATTAGCTGGAGTTCCAAAATATAACTTGGCATTCCTTTGAACTCTGAGACAGCCTATTTGTAACTAAATTTATCTAGGTTATTAGGTTTAATGTTGAAGACACACAGAGCCAATTAAACACAAGTGCTGAATAAGAATAACCTAAATAAACACAAACCCTGACAGAAACTAAAGTACATACCAAGAAAGATGTTAACCTTTGCCAAATTAAGAGAAAAATTCCCTCATCCAGTCCTTGAAGCTGAGGTCCAAACCTTGCGGCTGAGGTCGACAGGAACAAAATAATCCTCCCCAGCAGATCTTTCAACCAGGAGGGAAAAAACACCTCTTCAAACAAGAGGGGAAAATACTCTTCCCAAGTCAAATCCTCCAAAAAACCAAACTACCAAAATTAGAAGTTTGATCCAAGAGAGACTAACTGGGTGGGGGAAAGGGGGCAGCCTATGGAAGTAGGGGTTAGGGTAGGGGACAGGTCAAATGGCCCTAGTATGGGCACCTCATGCCACAGTTCCAAAGGTTAATTATTATCCCTGAGATGAGTCAGCTTTGGAATCCCACTTCTGACACTGAGTATGTTGAAGTCAAATAAAATCTAGAGACGAATCTGTACATTTAAAATGTCTTATTTCGGAAACAAGAATTACAGTTCCGGCATACACACAGACCGGTGGTCTTCAGTATGCCTGAAGAACAAAGAGAAGTTCAGAAATTTTATAAAAAGGAGAACTGTTATGTATTGTTTTGAAAGAGAATTTTGGGGAACTGGTAAGTTCTGATAGGTGAGTGATGGTGGTAGGTAAAAGTAGTCTTAAGAGGTGCAGCAGTTTGCTTCAGTAGCTATTAGATAAAACTGGTTTTAGGTTTCAGCCAGGCTTGCGGAGAATTACATTCTTGGAGCAACATTATATGTCTTTAGTGCTCACCCACCCTCTTCTCACCCCTCTTACTCCCCTCCCTAACCCCCACCCTCCTACCCACCAGCCTCTCAACTCTGTTTTAGTTGGATATGATAAGAATTACCCAACTTCTTATGATCAGCTTTCACAAGGGCAATCATGTTCGGTATTGTCTGGTTGCAGACATCTAGTGGGGGTCTTACAATGTGTCTCATGAGGGTAAGGGGGATACTACTGTATGGACATACATTAAATCTGTGTCAGTTTCCGGGTTTGAATTGTACTGTAGTTACATTAAGATGTAACCATTGGGTGAAGGTTACACAGCACTTCTCTGTATTGCATTTGCTACTTCCCATGAATCTATAATTCTTTCCAAATTAAAGTTTAAAAAAAGTACAGAACTTTCTTGGAAATCATTTCAACATATTTTTGTTGGCTGATGAGAAATAAAATATTTATATATTATATTTGAAGAATAGCTGATTAGCATTGTAGTACAAATAATGTACCTTCTTAACACTGCTAAGTCCCTTGAAATATCACTGAATAACAAAGTATTACATTTAGAAATGTTCGTTTGACATGAAAAAGAAAGAAAAAAATACTGTAAATATTCTGGAATTCTTCAAAAAATGTTTTCTTCTGGATAAGTATGCATTCCTAAGGAGGGGGTAAGCAGGAGCATTTAATATATATAGGAATTTTGCTGAGTGCCCCGAAGGGTAACTACATGTACCGTCTCTTGTGTAGTTCTTACTGGAATTAACCACCATTGCTGAAAAGGGCCTCAATAAAATAACAAAGGACTTTTTAATGTGCTGAAGTTTTTCCAGGTTTTTTCTTCTAAGCATTTGTATCATATATGATATTTAATTACATCAAGAGGGGAAGGGGGGGTTCCTTCCTGGGGAGGTATGTTTCTAGACTTCTCCAAGTTGTTCACCATTTATGGTTTACCTTAAACATACTGTTGATATAAGACACGTAAGACACTGATGGAAATTTTTGCCATGTCATTGGTCAACTGCAGAAAGTTTCTTCAGAGTTACAGACACAATTTGGACTCTTACTTTTTATGTAAAAAATAATTTCCTAGACCGGGTGCAGTGTCTTAGCCTGTAATACTAGCAGTTAGGGAGGCCGAGGTGAGAAGACTGCCTGATCCTGGGAGTCTGAGACCAGCCTGGGCAATTTGGTGAGACCTGGTCTCTACAATACATCAAAAAATAATCCGCAGTCTCGGTGGTTTAGCCTGTAATCCTGCGCCTTTGAGAGGTTGAGGTGAGTGGATTGCCTGAGCCCGAGGGTTCGAGACCCGTCTGGGCAATTTGGCAAGACCTCATCTCTACAAAAAATCAGCCGGTCGTGGTAGCGCATGCCTGTAATTCCGGCTACACGGAAGGCCGAGGCGGAAGGATCGCCGGAGCCCAGCAGGTCGAGGCTGCGGTGGTGGCCGGGAGCGGCCACTGCACTCCAGTCTGGGCGACAGAGTGAGACTCCAACTCAAAAACAAAAAACAAAAACCACGGGTGTGGTAGCGCAGGCCTGTTGTTCCAGCTACTTGGAAGGCTGAGGTGGAAGGATCGCGGATCGCTTAAGCCCAGCAGGCCGAGGCTGCGGTGGCCGTGTGCGTGCCACTGCACTTCTGCGTGGGCAACAGAGTGGGGATCCAACTAAAAATAATAATAATTATTCCCTGAATTTTTTCCCCCCGTGAGGAAGAGGCATTCCAAACCCCGAGTGGGGGTCAGTCCAGCAACATTACAGCTATTAAGGTTTGTTTTGGGGGGAGCACATTTATTTCTCAGAGGTTAAGTTGTGAAACCGTTTTAACGTGCAGGAGGCTCTCGTTGGTACCTTTGTTCATGTTGACAGTTCCCTTTGACGTCCCCTTTTCGAACTGGGAGCAGTGCTACTTTCGTTACAGATTAACGTGTGGGGCTCAGGGCTGCTTTGATTAGGAAACACCCCGCGATCCTGTGCTGAGGTCGCTGCCCTCACAAAGGTAGACTTTGCACCGGCCCCTCGCCACCGTGGCGTCCTCCTTCGCTCTCGCACGCTAAACTAGGAGGGCACCCGGACCACCCGAGCCCCGCCCTCGCCCAACCTTTCCCATTGCTTTTTGCGCAGACTCCTTCAAGCCGCGTCCCGCCCTCCGCACGCTCCAGTGGGCGGGAGATTGGGAAGGGCATCACCGGCAGCCAATCGGCGCTCGTGCGCTACACGGAGGCGCGCTGGAGTTGGAGGAGGTGAGCGGTCGCAGGCGGAGCATCTAGAGTGACGAGTATTCTGGCCAATCCTCAGAATCCGTGCTCCGACCTCGCCTCCCGCGCTGAGCCGGCCGCCCCCACCCGGGCGCAAGGTAGGCCGCGCGGGGAATGTCCCGGGCGGAGCCAGCAGAGACTGGCGCTGTGCTCCACCAGACGCGGCTGTGTTTGCCGGGCCTGGCTCACAGCGAAACGAGATGGCAGAGCAGTCGGACGAGGCGGTGAAGTACTACACCCTGGAAGAAATTAAGGAGCACAACCACAGCAAAAGCACTTGGATTATCCTGCACCACAAAGTGTACGATCTCACCAAATTCCTGGAAGAGGTGAGAGGTGATACGCGACGTCGCTCCGGCGCGGGAAGCGTGGCCCGGGTTTGGGGTTCCCTCGCGTGACCTGTCGTTCGCAGCGCTGAGGCTGCCCACTTGAGTCGGCTCCCCTGAGCCTGCACACCTGAGTCTGCGCACCCTGAGCCTGCACGTGTGTGTCCACACCTAGGGGCGCTCCGGGGCGCGTCGCCTGGCATCCTAGCCGGGTGAGCTGCGTTCGCAACACGCCGGGTGCACTTGGGTGGGAGCTGCCTGCAGAGATCTTCCCGCAGGCGTGTGCCAGAACACTTCCCTACTGATTAGGGGACGCCAGATCGTGTCTGGAGCAGCCTTTCTGGGGGATGGCACCGCTGGGTAAGGATTTCCAGTGATCTCTTTATCCTTGAGTTTGAATAGAAAGGTCTCCGTCCCCGTCCCACCAGTGTTGTTCCCGAGCGGCCAGTTGAGACTGCCCTTCCCGAGAGCTGTGAGACCCCCCCAGAGCAGATCCTGAGTTCAGAGGTCCGGTGTAGCTCGGATTGGCTCTCTCCGTTGGCACCCACAGGCCAGAGTGCGCCCACACCTCGCGTTCACCCAGAAAGGCACAGTGACTATTAACCGCATCCAGTAATGACTTGGCAACAGGGCACAGTGCTTGACTGATGAGACTGTGGAGTCAACTCCTGTTGTGTGGCTTGACCAAGCACAAAGGAAAAGGGGGGGATTGGCCGGGCGGAAACGTTCTGCCAAGTGAGACTTGACCCTTAAGCAACTTTGGAAGTTGTAAAATAACTGCTTAACCGTAATGAAAACATTCCTTTGATAAGATTCTTTGCCTAAGATTTTTGCTGTATGCTCTAAGGGTCGTAATTGTCTTGATTACTTCTGGATGTGTTTCATCACTTTGGGGGAGTTTGAGTCATAAATCTTAACACACACTTGCCCTCCTCAACTCCCCTCCCTCAAATCAATGAGAATGTTTAGTGCTAGGAATTATTTACATGGTAGTGGGAGCGTGGGGTGGGGGTGGGGGATACGGACACAAAAACAGAGGCCTGGTCTTAGCTGGATCACAATTTACATCTAGGGACTTTTGTCTTGCAGAGAACGTTAAAGAGACAAAATCCAAAAAAATATTTTTTTCTTCAAATATTGGAGTTGATGTTTATTGGTAAGACATTTCACTTTTGTCATCTGGTGGAGTGCCAGAAGATATAAAGTAGTGTTCCAACTCAGTTAGGGGTGGTTTATAGCAGGGAATCAGATCTGATCTGCCCTCTCCTTCCTGCTGGGCTACAGAGTTTGTTTGCCATTACAGTTTCTTGAACTCATAATCATGTGAGATAACGTCAGGTCTAATTGACTCTAAATGTCTACTTGCAACTCTTTCTTACTTCTGTCCTCTGGTATATGTAATTCTGAAATTTTAATGTAGTATTTGCTTTGTCTATTTGTGTCCATAAAAAATAGCAGCATTTATAAAACATTATGGAGATATTTTATGTTATGAAGCATTTGCTATTTCTTTCTTTAAAAAAATTCCAACTTCTACCTTCTAAAATGGAGTTTTATGACCTCAGCATTGTTGGCATTTTGGGCTAGATAAGTCTTTGTTGTAGGGTATGGCCTGGTTATTGTAGGATGTAGAGCGGCCTTCCTGGCCTCTACCCACTAGATGTCAGTAGCATCCTCTCCCTCCAGGTGACAACCAAAAATACCTGTATGTATTGCCAGATGTCCCATACAGCACAAAATCATTCCTAGTTGAGAATTACTAAAGTTATTGTGCATAACTTTATTTATTATTATTTTTTGAGTTGAGGTCTCACTCTGTTGCCCAGGCTGGAGTGCAGTGGCATGATCACTGTGCACCACAGCCTTGACCTCTTGAGTTTAGGCAGTCTTCCTGTTTTCCTGTCTCAGCTTTCTGAGTAGCTGGGACTACAGGTGCCCACCACCACTCTAAGCTAATTTTTGTACTATTCGTAGAGCTGGGATCTCGCAACAGCCCAGGCTGGTCTCAAACTCCTAGGCTCAAGTGATCATCCCACCTCAGCCTCCCAAAGTTGTGGGTTTATAAGCATGAGCCACTGCACCTTTATTGTACATAACTTTTAAGGGTAGCTTTTCAGAAGGAGATAATAAGGAAGAGAAGGTTATTAAAATTTACTCAAAACCATTTACTTATGCATTTTATTCTCACGAGGCAGGAAAGGGGGCATTGTGTAGAAATTTTCTGAGTAAAACCGGAAGGGACAAGAACACACTGTTCAGTAAGTAAGTTAGCGGAAAGCACATTCCTTTATTTTTCTCGAATTTTTGGATACCCTCTCTTTGAAAGTAGCTTGGAAAGGCTGCATGTCAAATAAAATGAAGAGGAAGGTGGATGACACTGGGAGAAACATAAGTTTGGTTTGGTTCTGTTGACTTTAAGGGGTTGGAGGCATCTTGAAGCATAAGGAGAACTACCTTATCTCTGCCTCCACTGTCTGCCAACATGTTGTACTAGTGGTTGGAACTTCGAAAAAGCAAGGCTACCTGACCTTTTCCTGGACCATGTCACCTTTCTCAGTGTATCCTGATTCTGTCTTTGGTTTGAGACGTTTTTCCACTTGCCAGTCTTCAGATCTGTTTTTACTTTCTGTGACCATCTCTTGCTTATTGCAGTGTCCTAGTCATTGGCTTTCCACCCAGGCCCCCAGCAAAGCCTTTCTGGCCTTTCTCTGGACTATTTAGGACTCTGCGGGTAGCTTCCTGTGCCCACGTGGTTGCATCTCACAAGGCTCTTCAGCACCATGTGATGCTCCCAGGTACTTTTGCTTCTGCCCATATTCCCCCCATTTCCATTATTATATGAGGCCAATCTCATACCTACTTATAAAAACAAAGAAATGAGCCCAGAATATCTCTGTCTTCTAACTCCTTTCCCCTGCCCTTTTTCCTTTCTGCCATCTTTTAGAGCCTCCAGAATTTCAGAAACCTTTGCATGCTAACTAAAGAATATTCTATCTTCCCTAATTTACCTGGGTATGAAAGGTTTTTCCTTCCTACCTCTAAAATGAACTTTAAGTCATTATGGGCTAGAACTCCATATATTCTAAGTTCCTCCATCCGTATGGATGAGATTTCTCATGACTGAGTGTTTCCTCCTTCTTTCAGAATAGCCTATATTTCTATGAATGTCACATTCATGTTGAGAAAATGTGTGGTGGGGTCCTGCTGTGCTACAAAGTTTAAGTCAAGAACACAGATGGAGGTTTAGTTGTTGTGCAGTGTGAACTCTGTCCTCCTGAAATGACGGCCTTCTAAAGCTGTTTTGTTGTTTAGGAGGAGGGGCAGAAACCTAAGAGGGAAGGCTGGCTTATTATTAATGGCAATCTGAACAGCAGCAGGTGCTTAGTTACTGTCTGATATTTACCTACAAGATTTTTAGCTTTATTGCCTAACATTTTGAGCTAGATTTTTTTTTCCAATCCTGAGTTCTAGTTTTTGAGTTTATATTTGTGAAATTGAGTCTTATCATATCTAATTGTATTATTAGCAGAGTTGATGATAGAACTTTGAAAGACAGTTATTTGAAATAAAAACTTAGGTATGTACAGCCAGGAGAAACAAATATTTGCATTTTTCTTTCTGTGATTTGGGTAGTGGCATTTATTTAATTGTTGTTGTTGTTTTTTGCGACCTTCTGGGCTCAGGCAATCCTTCCACCTTAGCCTCTCAGGTAGCTGGGACTTCAGGCTTGTGCCACCATACCTGGATAATTTTTAAATTTTTTTGTAAAGACGAGGTCTCGCTGTGTTGCCCAGGTCTTGAACTCCTGGGCTCAAGTGATTCTCCTCCTTGGCCTCCCAAAGTGCTGGGATTACAGGCATGAGCCACTGTGCCCGATCCGAGTTTTTAAAAAGTGCTGTAGAAGGGAGAGAAGGTATCATGTAATTAACAACAACTATATTCCTTATTGCTTTCGGTTCAAGTCAGCAGATATTTGATTTGTGAAATAGATATCATCTTGAAAAATTTTATAAGACAGAAAGTGTTTGTGTCAAGTTGCCCCCTCTCCTTGCATTATACAAATGGAAGCATGTCTCTGTAGAACATTTTCTAGTGATCATGGGATTTTGGTAGTCTTGTTTCTGAGCTTCAGATGTTCTTTAACATTATTTTGCCTCACACAGGCTGTTTACTTCTGACTCACTTTGACTTATGGAGTCTTAGGAGGGGTCTTTGTAGGCATTTACTTTTTGATATATTTCCGTTGAACGTGGCTATCTACAGTGCATAGACCAGGTGTTCCGAGACCCGAGACCACAGTCTCCCAGTGATCCAGGAAGGTGTTGAAGACTCATTGCCCTTAATTCTGAAAAAGTAAGAAGGACACATATCTCTACCCTCCTTAGGGCTGCCATATTTAGGGCTAAAATACTAAATGCCTTTGCTATTTGCAAGGACGTTTAATAGTATTCTGAATCTTAAACTACTAAAAGGATACTGTTTCTAAATATGCCTTTGATGAATCAAAAATGGGTACATTATTAATTATTATTTGATATAAGTAGTTAAGTAAATATAACTTAGAAGACATGAAGTCCATAGAAGGAAAACATGAAGGTATTGGTGGAGGTCAGTGGTGGCCTAGGCATCTTGGGTAAACAGGTGGCGATCATACATCTCACAAGGCCATCTGGGGAATGTGGACCTGTGGGCCTTTTATATATTTCTACATATATAGACCATTTTTTGTGACCTGTTGCAACTTTTGAAAAGAGGTTCCAAGAGGCCACTTTGTTTTGAAACAATAAGGAAAACACTCAAGATTCACTTTTGCTTTTTTACTTATGTTTGAGGTGGATAAGAATTGTAAATGAAGGGGCAGGATAGGTTGGGTAATCAAGGCATAAGTAATATGCTACATTCTACTTAATATGCATGTCTATTTTTCTGAAGTCCTCCTGAACCATGGAAGACAACTGCTGAGTGCTTTTTTCGTTTAGTGGCATCTGAACAGTTCTGGTTCA